GAAGAATCCGAATGCCCCTTGTCGCCTCAACGCTGCTACATTTGGTGGTCTCAACTTTCAGCCAATGCCTTCGCCGCTGACTGAAGCACACTGCCACTCCGGGTGGGAGATGGGCAAGGGCACCTCGCATGAGGTCATGCGCCGTTGAGGGGGGGGTAATGTCACGAGTTGGTATGGCGTCTAGCCGTTTTTTAATTTTTTCCCTTTCGCGGGCTCGAACCCGCGACCTCTGTACTACATGCCTGATATGGACGCATCACTATCTACTGTACGATTAGATTAGATGGGCGGCAGTGCACGGCACAGCTCGGGCTCCGCTGACACAGCCTCTCTGACTCACCAGCCCCCGGGGCCGCATCAGCATGCTGTGCACGGACCAGCTGCGCACGGACCAGTGCACACAGCCTGCCCTTATCTTCCCCTGTATATAAGCCGGCCTCTGCTGCCCTAGGGACCTCAGTTTCAACCTCTTGTCCCTAGGTCAGTAAGCCTCTCTTGTATTCTTTCCTACCTTAACTAATATATTCACTTGTCCCTAGCCTTAGGTTTGAGCACTGCTCACCATCGCTTCGGTGAGACTTAGTCGGACGCCCCCAGCTCTTAGGTCTTCCCCTGTCGCTTGACCTCAAGTCGCGACAGTAAGTTTCGACTGTATTTCCAACAGCTACTATACATCTACCTACTTACTATGATACACAGCCTCTCTTAACGATGCTCCACACTCGATATAGATCCCATGATCAGCCACTGTGCATAAGTCACAAGGAAGTAGCAAGCCATGGCTTGGGCCCAAGCCAAGCCCGAGCCAGGCCAAAGCTCGCAGCTAGGGCCTGGCTCAGCACCCGCTGAGGCCCGGGCTCTCTGAAGCCAGGCCAAAGCCATGGCTTTCGGGCCAAGCCAAGCCAGGCACAACACTAGTAATAGATGACGAGCCCAAAAGGGAATAAAGATATATGACGCACCTGAGACCCATTTGGATTGCTCGTTAGCAGTCTAATATATATTACGGCTGACTGGTAGTAAGCCTATATCATGTATGAGGGCGTCAGGTACTGGTGGACGCGAAATGCAAGGATATACAGGAAAGGAAAAGAAGAAAACAGGGAAAAGAAAAGAGGGGGGAAGCCAAGATCTCCCCCATGCGACCCTCCAGCGTGCGTCGCCTACGCCCCGCATTCTTCATCGTCAGAGTGCTCCACCTCGCCGACCGCACCAGCCTCGTCGCCAGGGTCGTCATCCGCAGCGTCCTCAGCGTCCTACGCCTCCGTCTCCTCCTCCGCATGGACGGGCCGGGGCGTGCCCGTCTTCATGAAGGCCCCGCTGCGCGCGATGAACGTCGTGAGCGCTGTGATCCCTTTTTTGGTGCCCAAGATGGTGGGTAGGTCGATTGTCCGGCTCGCCGCCCGGAGGACGTGCCGGTGCGGCGCACGCACACTACCCTACGGAGTACTGAATACTAGTATAAATAAGGTTCGATTCGTCTACGGATGCGCCCGAAGCGTAATCTTGCCACGACCACTCATCGAGACTCTTGGATTGTCCACGGACAGGTCCGTCGTTAAACACTTGGATAGGTGTCGAATGTTCATTGACGGCGTGTTGATAACTTCGCATCTGCTTTTCTTGCTTCCTTCAGCACCATCACAATGAACGAAGCCTCCCTGACAGATGTGTTATCTACTCACGAATTGGAGGTCTGTCGTATGAATAACGACTCATCGAGCTCTATGAGATTCATTAAAACTTGGTAGGAATCTGAAGCATCCTCCGTAGGAAGAATACCCCGCTTGAACGAGGACGTCCTGGTACTCATCGTGTCCTACCTCTCAACGCGCGATGCTCTCAACATGTCTCTCACGTCTCACGACAACTATCCCATCGCAAGGCGGCACGCTTTCTCTGTCGTGACAATGCAGAACAACGCGATAATTGTGCGAATCTGCACATACATGCTCGATGACATTCCTGGTCGCCTACATTGGGTCCGCGAGCTTAAAGTCTGCTTCAATAGCATGACCCACGACTTTCCCCCTGCCGTCGAATCATGCAACACCGCGGCACGCCTGCTTGTACCTCTCCTCGAGAACGCCATCCATCTCAAATCTCTCCAGTTCCCATACTCGGTCGACGTGTTGCTGCTAACGCAGCCCCGCATTGCGCCCGCCCTCTCAGCATTGCACCACTTACAGATTCTGCATTTAACATTATATCCCGATAGCGAGAGCAAGGCAGAATTATTCGCGATACAGAGGGAGATGCTGAGAGAGATGCGTAGCAGGCCGGTAGAGCTGTCACTCTGGATCCCGTCCTCCAGTGACCTCTCTTGCATCCAATATATCCAGACCATCAAACGTCTCACTCTCGAGCGACTCATGTTGCATAACGAAGAGTATCCAAATTATGCCCAAGGATCACAACATCTATTGTCCTGGCCCACTGCTTCGAGTCTGACTCTGGATAGTTGTGAACTCTCGATGTCCGAGGCAGTCCGAGCTTTCCCCAATCTGCGAGAACTACGGGTGGGGTATCTATCATCAGGTTTGACTTCAACGAGCAGCGTATGTTGGCCACAGATGGACTACGTCAGGGGACCTCAAGTGCTCTTCGAGCAATGGCCATTCAGTTGCCATGTTCACCATCTCACGATAACATCGGCCCTCTACCTCGGGTCTCCTCACGACGCTACTGTGCTAAGCACGATACGACAGACCTCGCCGAGAATATTAGCGCTCTCAGTTCCGGAAAAGCCTGAGCTGGTTGATACTTTCTGGGCGAAGCTGGCAGGAATTACGCGTCAAGTACACAGCCTAGAGATCACGTTAAGCGAGGTGTATCTCGTGTTTAAGATGGCTCAACAACTGGTGAGTGCTGAAGTAAACTGAGGACATCAATGGGGATGTTGACTGTCGGAGAACACCTTGAAGGGCATACGTCTTGGTGTATTGAGCAATCTGGGCCGCCTAATCCACGTCAAGCTGACATATTCATATCCGGTCAATGTGACACCCGTCACTCCTGATGGCGTATCGATCACCCCAATGCTGGACATTCAGAATAACATTCTAGAGCGGCTGCTGCATGTGCTCATCGAACATACACATTCCCTCCGATATGTGTCTATTGAATTTATAGGTCATTCCGGACCATGCACGCCCAGTCGTGGTTCATGGAGAATTGTGCGCTCGGACAAGGAGCGGACTGTGGAGCGCATTTCCCAGTACGATGCAGAGCAAATAAGGGAAATAATCAATGCGCGCGATTTCGACCCCGCCTCGTTCATTTAAGGCTGGTTTAAGATCTATTTTATTGTATACACGATCGCTAACTCTGCGTCGTGGTTCAGTGTAATACGCAAGGTCGCGAAGAGTTGTTTCGCGCGCCCAGGGTTTGGCATGGTATCTCACACACACGTATACTCCTAAAGCAATAGGGGCATCTTTCTCAATCTAGCTATGTCCCTAGCTTCGCTTGTCGGTACGCTGGTTAATTCAAATGTCGACCAGCTTCGCATTATGCCATTGCGGACTTGTTTATGCACTGATACAAGTGCGCGCCACAATTGGTCCGTCGTGGGACTAATCCTACAATTGCTGTAGCGGAAGTCCTACCGTTGCATATGTTCCCAGATTCTTGAGCAGATGCTCATCTTCACATCTTTGGCTTCGACTTCTCTAACATGAGGATCCGGGGGCCAACATCCAGCGACCTGAGCCCTGCTTATGTTTGTTTTTGTTTTTGGAGGTCTCCACCATATGGGCCGCTAGGAAAATAGCCCTCTCGTGATCTGACAAACACGTTCCTTCCCATCCTGAAGCTCAGCATCTTTTCATATATCCCTAGTATACACCGTATCAAAGAAGAAATGCAGGTAAAAGGACAATGTCAAGGCCGTTGAGACTGTTCGATCTGGAAAGATGGTTCAGTCTCTGCGCATTCATCAGCGGTTGTCCCAGAAGGGAGATGAGATCCTTATCACTGGTTTCGGTCGCTTGTTTATTTCTCCGACATTTAGGCGGCAACTTGATATGCACCTAGTCCAAGATACGCGGCACAGAATGTATGTGAATACGCTGGTCCAGACGGAGGAAAGTCACCAATGCACAAATAAATACTACATAACTGCATGCATGTAGGACGACCGTGTCCGTACAGGCATATCCTACGGAGCGTGTAAATAAGGTTCGATTCGTCTACGGATTGGTCCGAAGTGTGATCTTGACACTGCGGCCACGACTACTCATCGCTCCTCATAAGGGTCCGTCGTTAATAACGTCAAACATTAAGATGTTCATTGACCGCGTGCTGATAGGTTCACGTCTGCTTATCTTGCGTCCTTCAGCACCATTATTGTCGCGACTTGAGGTCAAGCGACTAGAGAAAACTTGAAGGCTGGGGGCGTCCGACTAGATCTCACCGAAGCGATGGTGAGCAGTGCTCAAACCTAAGGCTAGGGACAAGTAAGTTAGTATTGAATAAGTAAGTAAGTACAGGGGCTTACTGACCTAGGGACAAGAGGTCGAAACTGAGGTCCCTAGGGCAGCAGAGGCAGGTTTATATACAGGGGAAGTTTAGGGGAGGCTGTGCGCGCTGGTCCGTGCGCAGCTGGTCCGTGCGCAGCATGCCGACGCGGCCCCGGGGGCCGGTGAGTCAGAGCGGCTGTGTCAGCGGAGCCCGAGCTGTGCCGTGCACTGCCGTCCTATCTAATCTAATCGTACAGCAGATAACGATGTGTCCATATCAGGCAGGTAGTACAGAGGTCGCGGGTTCGAGCCCGCGAAAAGGAAAATTTAAAAACGGCTAAGGCGCCGTATCAACTC